ACAACAACTCCAACAACCACAACTACCATGCCAACAACTACAGCACAAACCACCATGACCACAACTCCAACCACGTCAACACTAATCACAACAACTCCAACTACCACAACCACCAGTCCAACCACCATGCAAACCACTACAACTCCAACAATGACAACCATCATGCCAACCACCACAACTCCAACAACCACAATCACCACAACTGCAGCGCCAACCACTACAACTCCAACAACCACAACCACCATGCCAACCACCACAACAAATGCAGTGCCAACCACTACAACGACAACTCCAACCACCACCACTGCAACACCAGCCACGACCACAACTCCAAAAACCACAACCACCATGCCAACAACTATGACTGCAACAACCACGACCACCGCAACAACTGCAGTGCCAACTACTACACCTACAACTACAACCACCACCACTTCAACACCAACCACGACAACAACTCCAACAACCACAACTACCATGCCAACAACTACAGCACAAACCACCATAACCACAACTCCAACCACTGCCACAACTCCAACAACCATGAGCACAGGTCCAACTACTACAACTCCAACAACCACAACCACCATGCCAACCACCACAACAAAAGCAGTGCCAACCACTACAACCACAACTCAAACCACCACCACTGCAACACCAGCCACGACCACAACCCCAAGAACCACAACCACCATGCCAACAACTGCAGCACAAACCACCACAACCACAACTCCAACCACGACAAAACCAATCACAACAACCACAACCCCAACTACCACAACCACCATGCCAACAACCATGACTTCAACAACCATGACCACCGCAACAACTGCAGTGCCAACTACTACACCTACAACTACAACCACCACCACTGCAACACCAACCACGACAACAACTCCAACCACTACCACTGCAACACCAGCCACGACCACAACCCCAAGAACCACAACCACCATGCCAACCACCACAACAACTGCAGTGCCAACCACCACAACCACAACTCCAACCACCACCACGGCACCACCAACCATGACCAAAACTCCAATTACCACAACCACCATGCCAACAACTGTAGCACAAACCACCACAACCACAACTCCAACCATGACAACACCAAGCACAACAACCCCAACCCCAACCACGACAACACCAAGCACAACAACCACAACTCCAACTACCACAACTACCACTCCAATAACTACAACTCCAACTACCACAACCACCATGCCAACCACCACAACTCCAACAACCACCAGTCCAACGACTATGTCAACCACCACAACTCCAACAACCACAAGCACCACTACAACAACTGCAGCACCAACCTCTACAACTACAATTCCAACCACTACAACCACAACTCCAACCACCACCATGACAACAACAACCACAATGCCAACTACCACAACCACCATGCTAACCACTATATCCACCACACCAACCACCACAACCACAACTCCAACAACCACAGCCACCACTCCAACCACCACTACTGGAATTCTAACCACCACAACAAATGTAGCCCCTTCTACCGAAACTCCAACCACCACCACAACAACACCAACCACAACGACCACAACACCAACTACCACAACAACCATGACAACTACCACAACAACTGCAGCACCAACCACCACAACCACAACTCTGATGACCACAACCACAGCTCCAACAACCACGACCACCTCTCCAACCACCATGACAACCACCACAACCATGACACCAACCATCACAACTCCAACAACCACAACTACCACTCCAACCACCATAACTACAACTCCATCAACCATGACCACCACTCCAACCACAACTTCTTCTATCACGACCACCACTCCAACCACCACAACTCCAACAACCACAAGCACAACTCTGACCACCGGTACAACCACTATGACAACTACCACACCAACAACTACGCCACCTGCCCAACCAACAACTATGTCAAACATCATTACAACCACCATATCAACAACTTCGCCAACCACTACAACAACCATACCACCAAATACCCACAGTACCACACCAACAAATACACCAACCACAATAACCACTACACCAAAATCTTCACCAAGTACCACACCAACAACTACTCCAACCACCTTACCAACCACTACGCCAACTACCACACCAACAACTATGTCAACTACCATTACAACCACAACAACCACTGTACCACCAACTATGCCAACCACTACACCAACAACCACAACAACCACTACACCAAAAAGTATGCCAAGTACCACACCAACAACTATGCCAACCACTACACTAACAACTACGCCAACCACTACACCAACAACTACGCCAACCACAACACCAACAACTACACCAACAACTACATTAACCACCAAGCCAATGACTATCCCAACCACTACACAAACAACACCAACCACCAAACCAACAACTATGCCAACCACTATAGCAACAACTATGCCCACTACTTCACAAACAACGCCAATCACTACACCAGCAACTACACCAACCACCACACCAACAACTGTGCAAACCACTACAGCAACCACTACACCAACTACCACACAAACAAATACACTATCCACCACACCAACAAATATGCCTACCAGTACACAAACAACAACACCAGCCACCACACTAACAACTACACCGACCACTACAGCAACCACTACACCAACAACTACACCAACGAGTATGCCAACCACTACCCCAACAACTACACTAACCACAACACCAACAACTATGCCAACCACCACACTAACAACACCAACCACCACACCAACAACTACACCCACGACTTCACAATCAACAATGCCAACCACTACACCAACAACTATGATAACCACCACACCAACTACTACACCAACCACCACACCAACAACTTCTTCAACCACTACACCAACAACAATGCCAACAACTTTGCCCACCACCACAAAAACCACTACCTCAACAACTACGCTAACCATTACACAAACAACAACACCAACTACCACACCAACAACTACACCAACCACCACAGCAACCACTACCCCAACAACTGTACCAACCATCACACCAAAAACTACCCCAACCAACACACAAAAAATGCCAACCACCACAGCAACCAATACACCAACAACAATGCCACCCACCACACCAACAACTATACCAAGCACTACACCAACAACTGCACTAACCACAACACCACCAACTACGCTAACCACCACACCAATTACTCCAACCACAACAGCAACCACCACACCAACAACTACACCCACTACTTCACAAACATCATCATCCACTACACCAGCAACTATGCCAACCATCACAGCAGCCACTACACCAACAACTATACCAACTACCACACCAACAACTACACCAACCACTACACCAACAACTACAGTAACTGCAACACCACCAACTACACTAACCACCACACCAACAACTACGCCAACCACCACAGCAGCCACTACACCAACAACTACACCAACTACCACACCAACCACTATGCCAACCACTACACCAACAACTATGCCAACTACTTCAAAAACAACAACGCCAACCACCACACCCACAACTATGCCAACCACCACATCAAACACTACACCAACAACTATGCCAACTTCCACACCCACATCAATGCCAACCACCACATCAACCGACACACCAACCACTATGCCAACAACAATACCAACCACCACACCAACAATGCCAATCACCACATCAACCCCTACACTAACCACTTCACCAACCACCACACCAACAATGCCAGTCACAACAACCAGTACGCAAACCACCACACCAACAACCCCAACCACCAAACCAACCACTACACCAACCACTCCACCCACTACACCAACAACTCCAACCGCTGCACCGAAAACTACTCCAATCACTTCACTAACTACTACACTAACTACCACACAAACCAGTACATCAACCATCACAGTAATACCTACACCAACCAGCACAACTACCCTAACTACTACACCCAAAACTATGCCAACCACCATATCAACTACACCATTAACCTCACTAACCACAACACCAACAACTGTGCATTCCACACTCCCAATCACAGTTTCCACACAAACCATCACACCAGCAACTACAGCATCCACCACTCCAACTACACTGACTACGACACCAACAACTATGCCTACCACCCTGCCAATTACAATTACCACACAAACCACTACACAAATCATCACACCAACCACAACACAAACCACTAAACCAACCACCATTTCAACTACTACACCAACAACTATGCCAACCATTACATCAACAACTACACCAACAACTTCACCAACCACTACATCAACAACTACACCAACAACTATACCAACCACTACATCAACAACTACACCAACAACCATGCCAACCATCACCCCAACCACTACAATGATAACACCAACCACTATAACCACCACACAAACCACTACATCCACAACACCAACAACTATAACCACGACTACAACCACATCACCAACCACTATAACTACCTCACCAACCACTACTACAACCAACTCGCCAACCTCTATAACTACCACACCAACCACTATAACCACCACACAAACCGCTACATCCACAACACCAACAACTATAGCCA